GTTGTATCGCAAGTGGCGCGAAGCTCAGCTTTGCTTCTGTGTTTGAATTTCAAGTCCTTTGAATTCAATTTGCTACATGGAAAGCAAAAACGCTCTGCAGTTGCAAAATCGTGAAAAATGGAACATTGGACTGTAACAAAGCTCAAAGCTTCAACTCTTCCTACTCGAAAAAGCAATTTCATAAGTTAAATTTAACTGGCAATCGGTCTTGAGGGTTGCTCATAACGTTAGTTTTTGAAAATAGTGTTAGCTATATAAATCAGTTCATATCGATCGTTAGCTCACACTGAGTTACTATTTTGAAAATGACAATCAGAGATTTTTTCAATCAATTGTCTCCAAATAGATGCCTGTTCACTTCGTTTTTGAATTTTTTTTTGTGTAATAGACGTATAAAATATATTTTCCGTTTGCCAAGTTTTTCTGCGAGCTTCGTTTAAAAAAGTAATCCTTAGCTGAATTCTATCCAAATTTTCGATAACGAAGTCTCATTTAAACGTTTTGATATCTCATTTTCCAGTGAATACCTTATTTCCCAATTCGTATAAATGCTCAATTTGACGGGGATGCGTGGACATAAAAAACGCTATCTTCTGGTCTTAACTTAAGAACAAGTAGTTGAAAGGGTAAATGAAAAGTTTGCGCCGTTGTGGTGATTCCTTCTTGTTTTTCTGAGTTTGTAAAGTTTGTTTGTAAGAAAATGGCCTGTTTAATATCAATAGGAGCTAGACATAAAAAGAATTATAAGTAACCTATGTTTCATTTTTGCCTGGTTATGTTAAACCCAATAAATTCATCATTTTGATCAATATTGATTGTAGTTTCAGAAAATGCCCAGACCAGGGACTTTCACTGTGAATTAAGTTAAGAAAACCAAATACAGAAAAATTTTTTTAGAGTAGTTTTCCATTTACGGGGTAGGGTCATACTAAATTAGTCAGATTAATGCTGAAAGTTTTTAATTGGTTCTGATCTTCTCCCACCTTTTTCAGCATCGGAGACGGAACGGAAAATAATCGTCTGTTTTAAAAGGTTTTTAACCCAGTGTAACTGGAGCATCATTAGCAAATCAGTTTCAGGTCATTAGTGCTCTTAGGTCTAATAAACACTCTCTAAAAATTGAAGTTGTCAAGGTAGCAGTAAACAGCAGAAGTAAGAAATTGCTCTGCACAAAATATAACATAACTAAATTTGCTGTATGTTCGTGTGAAAAAACGGTTGTGGCAATTATAAAAAAAAATGTGTCAATTATAACGGATTTTCAAAAAGTATACTCTTGTTTTTGAAACAAAATAAAAGAAAGTAAATTTGTTTTCTACCTTTTGCTTCAAAAAAATGTTTTTGGTTGTTTTGTTGTTGAAATATGTAATTTGTCTTCTCCATTCTGATATGTAAAGGAGCAGAGCAGAGCAGTTGTCATTTAACGATTGTTGTTATAATCTGAACTTCAATCAACCTGCATATCCTAGTTGTCTTTATGTAAAAAAAGTACCTTCTGCTGTTAAAAATGTACCATAAAATTTACTTTGAAGTGCATATTCAACAGTTTTTTGTATATTTCTGTTGCAAGTTGTTGTAGGACAGGACTTTTTCTTGTCGTAACGGAACATAAAATAAGATTTTGTGTAAGAGTCTTAGAGAAAAACAAAACGCATATTTTCCTGTCTTTGACCTTTATGACATGCATCGTTAATTTGAGACACGAAAGAAAATTTTACCACTGGTGTGATGATGATGAGGCTCTTGAGGCCATAATTTCAATCGGTTCACTGAGTCCACTTCATTTTTTACCGATGATCGAAAATGATTTGCTAGCGGTTGACTTGCTAAGTTTAAAGTAATGAAGTAACATGCAGTGATTTAGTCAATTAACTGTGCACAAATGTTTTGCCTCGGGGCCTGATTTGGGTTCAGATTCGATAAACTGGGTAAGTTTCAAGAAGTGACCAGGTTCAGGTGAACGATCAGTCTTTAATGAATCCAGGAGTAGAGTAACCGGTTGTTGTACGAGTGACACAGGAGGCTGTGACTGGGTCAGAAGCGGCTAGCTCCTGTGTTTAATTGCCTGTAGCAATTGTTCTTTTTAGGTAGATTCCTTTAGACGGAATGACGAGTTGACCGATTTTCATTTAAAAGTGTAAACTTAGATTGAGGTGAAAACAAAATCAGCGTTGATGAAAGCAAGACAAATATTGAGCTCGTCCTAAACCTCGAAATTCATTAGAAAGCAAAAAAGGACAAAAGTATCCTTACGATTAGCAAAAGTAGTGTAATCGGGTAGAAGACTTTTCCTGTAAGCTAATTTTTTGGAGCGTTCAACAGATCCGAAGTAAAACAGTGCCGAAACTGAAAATGTGTTCAACAGCGCCGAAAGTTGATGATATTTGCAAATTTTGAGTTTTCTTTGTGAATTATTGGCACATTAGCTTGAATACTGTTTTATCTTGAATATAATTGTTTGTTTTTTTTCTCGTGCTATTGTTTTTTTTGGAAACCAGAGCCTTTTCTTTTTCATAGATCTAATTGTAGCGACATTTTTGAAGTTTTTTCGGTTTATCTGGTGTAGCGCCTTTGTTGTATTTTATCGCAAATGATGCGAAGCTCGACTTCGCCTGTGTTTTGTAATTTCGTTTTTTGTTTTTCCCAAGACTAGTTTAACTTCTTTTGTTGCGACTTGTTTTGATGTGCTTACTGGTTTATTGTATTCAATTATCTTTTGCGTATTTTTCGACGGCGATTAAAAAAATTGAATTCCAGAGCTTTCAAAAGTCTTTTGTTTTCGTTTCTTTTCAAAAGTATTTTTGTTTTCGACTCAACGGAAGTTTATTTAGCTTTTATCGGCTTATTCGCCGCTCGTCCAATGGTTTAAATAAATAATAACGTCGTTATTTGTTTTTCCCGTTATCTTTTCTCCAAATTGGAACTGGTTCCAAATTTCGGAAAATTTTGATGTGGTTTTTCGAAGTTTTTGAGTGGTATCGCATGTGGTGCGAAGCTACACGTCACCTCTGCTCAATCTTCTGTCATTTTGCGTCAACATTTTTCCATCTTTACACAAGCCATGCTTGTGCGATAGTATGAACTATCTTTTTTTTTCAATCTAATTCGCCAATATTGTTGCGATAAAATGTGTTCATTTTGAAAGTGTTCATTTTGATCAATAATCAGCTACTAAGAACAGCCAATGCTAAAGATTTTAACACAGACTTTTACTGTTCCGACTTTCGTAACGAAAACAACGGAATATTTGTGCTCGTGGTAACTAGCCATTTTTGATGGAGTTTTTAACTAGCCATTTTTGACGGAATTTTTAACGAGCCATTTTTAACTAGACATTTTTGACGGAATTTTAATATCATTCAAATAGTATTGTTGTCCTGAGCTTGATTTTGGAAAGATATTTCACCTGTGATCATTTTTTTCGTAAAATTACGGGGGTTTAAAAATCGCCATTTTGGCCATTTTGACCAATTTGGGGCAATTAACGCGCGATGTATTTCGCGCCATTAACGCGTAAGCGGAGATTTAATCCGTCATAGAAATTGTTCCAAATTGGTTGAAGGAGGAGGCTTATTTGCCAGTATTGATTCGTTACTAGGAGCGAAATTAATCACTTCGTACTTAATATGGCGTGTGGGGGGACGATTTTCACAAAAAATCTCAAATTAAAAAAAAAATTCATTTTTTTATTTAGTTTTTTCAAGTTATTACTGCTACATAGACTTCTCTATACATTGAGGCATGTTAGTTGGTTAATCAATTATTTTTTTTTCAAACTGACTGGTACTGCTAATGCATCATAATTGGCGTGCGTCACTAAAGAATTTTTGTAGACTCAAAGTTTTAATCTTTCAGTTTTTCACAGAAGCGTTATCGGTCATATTTTTGCTTGTGTATGCGAAGTGCAACTTCGCCTCTGTGTAAAAGTATTTTCTTTCAATTGTACGATTTTTAGCCTTAGAAATGTTGAGATCTCTCGTTTGATTCTGCGAAGATTTGTTTTCTGGTGGCGTCATCATTCCAAGATGTTGCCGCTCTGGACCCATCTAGAATAGTTTTCAAGAATATTTGTTCTGCTCCGGATTTTGCTGTTTTTTAATCTTTCAAGTCTGAAGCAACTGAACTATGCAACTGTATCTTATCTGATCTCATGATAATGAAGCGTCAAACCTACCTCAAACCTTAGATGTTGAACTAATTACACAAGTAGGCCTGTTTTTGTTCAACTGTTGAAAAGCTGGTATGTTTTGCTTTTCGTTTGAGGTTCATGAAAAAATTTCGAATCCGAGTTATAAAAATGGAAAAACTAAGATGGGAAAATATAGATGCAAAACTTTTATCGAAATACAATAATTTGAAAGATTGCTTAGGGGGGACTTAAACTGATGTCTGAATGAGTCAATTTTCAGTTTCTTAGAAAATATCAAGAATTTTGAATTTTTGAAAGTTTTGATGACGTTTTCTAGAATAACTAGGCGGCAAAAAATGCGAGCTCGAGAAAAAAATGGTAAATTGCTTAAATGCCAAGAAATCAAATATTTCAGTTATTTTCAGCAAATTTGATTATTTGTCAAAATATTTATGTTTTTTTTTTGCAATTTTTTTTATATTATTTAAATGTACATCACTGCGTAGAGATGTAGTTTTTTTTTTAAAAATGATCATCTAATTCTATTTATTTGAGTTAGTGAATTTTCGAGTTTATGAGTTGCAGTTTCGACTCTGTATCAAAAAAACTTCTACCAAAATTGATTTGAGTCTAAAAAACTGATTCGAATTTTCGGTAACCGGAAAATTAGAAGGCGTTGTCTTCGAATCATTTAACTTGAAAGTTTTTAAAGCTGATATGTCTACTTGAAGTCATATGTTGTACGCGAGTCCAAGAATTGTCAGAAGTATTGAAGAAGTTTCCCAGTGGCTGCGGGGTCGCAACATTGTGCTCCCCGTCTATCAACTGGCTACTCTTCTTTGTAATTGTTATTGTATTCTGGTTTGTTTAGCTGGGAGTGCGTGCTGACCCGAGTATGGTGGAGTTCTCAGACATGAAGATGGACGAGAAATTACATGTGGATGGACAGGACAATACTGTAAGTGAACATACTTTCCTAATTCTACTACACTCGTCTTGGTCATAGTCGTAATAATTTGATAAATGAGATGCTGCGCAATTTTAGCAGACGTTTTTTTTTTACAAAAACTAATCTTTTCTTTTACAAAAAAAAAGATCTTTTTAAATATGATCATTGTAAAATTCTTTAAATGCCAGACCCAAATATCCATAATGCTGCTGCATGTAAGATTTGTATGACCTCAATGTTTGTGAAGTATTGCTATGAACATCTTGTTGCTTGTCTATGCGGTTATTGTGTTTTAAAAATTAGGTCGGGTCTAATTATGGAGCAGTTCAGGGTAGAATAAGGTCAGGGTATAACTGGGTAAGTTGGAAGTGTACTTAATTCATTTCAGATATCGGCAGTGATTGGGGGCAAGACTCTGTTGCTTCTCAATCTGCATGATGTGGATAATCCTATCGAGCTGGCTTTTCAGTCCAAGTACGGCACCATCGTCACCTACAAATGGTAGACTACCCATTCTTATCCTTATTGTTTCTAACCTGTGAAAAATGGGGAGGAGCTCGGTATTCGGATGTTTTAGTTTTTTTTGTTGTCTACGCAAAATCAGGTATCACAAATAATCATCTGAATGGGTTGCGTAATATATCATATTATAGCCCTTCCAGTCGTGATTTAAACGACATTGAAAAGTTTTGAAAAGTTGTCTCAGTATCGAGAAAAACAGGTTTAAATTTTTTGCTTTGTCTCAATTCTAGCGAATATAGCGAGCGAGCAGGCTTACTATAGCTTATTTCTATTACTTAATATCTTACAATAGCTTGATTTAAGCCGTGAAAACGTTTACTCGAGCTTCATTTCCATTTTTTGTGCATGTCCTAATTGTGCAAATTGGGTTCTGACACTACATAGGTGAATTTGTGTCAAGTTTAAAGTTGTAAATAGTTTAAATAGTATATCGATTAGACTATTTTTTAGCCAAGTTAGACATGACCAAACTGCAATAACCTTTTTCGAACACGAGCTGATTTTTCGCCAAATTTACAAGTCTGAGATACTTAAAAAATGTATACCATCAACCTATCTGACTTCAGGTATGGCGACGGGTACTTGATGTTGGGCTTCTCTCTGGGCTATTTCATCATGATCTCCACCCACATGAAGGAGATAGGCCAGGAGCTGTTCCAGACTAAAGCGCACAAGAGCACACTGTCAGCTGTGGATTTGAACTGGCGCATGAACAAAGTGGCAGTGGCTGGGGACTCGTGGTTAGTAACAAAGACCGGATCTTTCACAACCTCCCCCCCATTTGAAATTTAAGTTTGGAAAACTATTTTAACGTCGTCAAAATGCTAGGAAATTTGGCATGGGCGAACAAACTGACAATTGTCAATAGTGAGCAGGTTTGTTCTTCATAGGTTACATCGTAACTTCACGCATTTAGTCGTCATAAAACTTAATGCATTACAACAAAGAGAATGGAAAAGTAGAAATGTGGGGGAGGGGTGGAATACCGACAATAAAAGCGATTTACTGTTGTTGCTGTCAGATAAATCAAACCTCTTGTTCCGGTACATCGACAGTTGCTTTCAAAACTAGCCTATGAATAACAAATAAATGCCTGTGCAATTTGAACCCTAAGTTTTGTTTAAATTGTACCATGGGAAAAAAGTTTAAACGATTACCTAGCCAATTTTTGATCTGATGGCAGGAGTTATGGTCTGACCATGTGATTCCAAGCGAGATGATGAAAAAATCATCTTTTGTTTTGTGAATACAGAAACTTCGGTAATTTCCCTCAAAATTCCGATGATCAAAGTCGAGCTGGAAACAAAATCTGTTTAATCACTTTCTTGTTGGAAATAACAGTGCGTCAATACAGCGACTTGTTTTTTAAAAATCAACATGTTCTAATTCTTGACAAATATTTGCACTTAAATGATGTCAGGCATTTAAAGATACTGCTTAAGTTCTATTGCGCTTGCGTAGTTAAAATTACTTAGGAACAAAGTATAGGCATTTTTCTTTTTCGATTAATTTAGAAAATGGGAAAATGCAGCTCAAACTGTAGTTTGGATTTAGTAGTTTTCACGTAGGTAGCTTATCTTGTCGATTCGTTTGATTGTTTACTCAACTCAGCGAAGTGTCTTTTTTACGGTATCCATTTTTCTAAACTGAGTTGCAAATAAAGGTTGTCATTATTTGATGGAACCTTTGCTACTTTATATCTGGTTAACTTTTGTCATAAGTTTTTTGGTGGCTAGTTTTTGTTTGATACAAACAGGTATTATGAAAATGTATGGGATGTTGGAACCTGATCTAAACTATATTTTATGATTGGATAAATTAAATGTTTTACCAATGTAAAGTATTTAATATTAACCAATCATGATCCATCTAACTAACAACCCACTTATTTGTAAGTGCTGAAGTTACTTGTAATTTCAGCACCAGAGAGATTTGAATTTAACTTAGAAATTAGTTGGACTCTCCCGAGCACTTCAGCAGCCGCAATAAACCAGTATACCCTAGATCTATTGAGCCTAGCAGAGACTAGTTAAACAACCTGAGACTAGATAGTATAAGAGTAAGATTAGGATCGGTATTAGACTAAGAAGTTGCACGAATCTATCCGGCCGAAAATAAGATAGCGTGACGAGCAGACGGTGTACCCTATCCGAAATTACTCTATGAGTTATACACCCCAGTCTTAACTCATCTGGTGCGACCATAAGTCTCGAACAAGACCTTACTAGATTAGAATTAACCAAAAATAGATTAGAAATTAGACAAAAACATTTACAAAATGTTATACGACAATAATTTAATTGAAATGTCTCTCCGACTCAATAGATCCGAGCCAATATTCCGAACCATAATAGAACTACCCGGAATTGGAAGAAGACATCGAACCAAAGACGACATACGACAAAGTAGAAACTTGCCGTATAGTTATATGATAGTTCGGCAAAAGCCAGAACAAACTTTTATATTTCGAATACTACTTGCAATGAATTTAGATTTCCATTTGCAAACATAAAACCTTGAAGTTACCCTTCAAAATCAATACAGGCGCTAAACAAAATTAATATTATACAATAACGATTGATAAAAAGATCTAAGATCGTTTTCTTAAAATTCTGCAGTATTATACAAAACATGTTTGAAAAATATTTATTGGAAAATAAAAATAAAAATTAGTAGCATGACAATAAATGGTTAGTAATCATAAATCATCCTGTTGTTCCAGCTTCATCACCTAAAACATAACAGCAATCATAAACCCACTAATATCATCAAAACACTAAATCTTTCCTTTACACAAAATTAAAAAATTTATTAAAACTTAAAGTCACTTAATTTTAAAACCAGATCATCAAGGCTTATCCTTGGATCTTAAATCATTTTCTACTTAATTAAATTTTAAATTTGATCATCAAGGCTTATCCTTGGATCAAACAGAACAACTTTGTTCTCCCCCACCCACTTAATTAGTGTCTAACGACCTCAAACGTCGATTCACTACCCAACCCTTTCTAAAGACCCAAGACTAATAGAAATTTTTAAACAAAACTAATCATTCAAATTAGGATAAACAGTGAAGAACTTCGGTTATTCATCCTTCACTTGACCCCTCCTCTTACCAGACCCAGGATAAATCTTAGACTTAGTAAGTTTAAAATAGTATCTAACGAACTACTCGCGTTCTAATTATACCTGAACCTTGTGGATCGATTTACTATTCTCCAACCCTTGAACACAATCACTACCCCTAAGTAAGATTAAGTAAGTTAACACCTTAGCTTATACTAGTCACGAGAAAGTAAAAATCATTCTCCGGAATCGATATACTTTTCTCTCCAACCCTGAACAAATAGACCCAGGTTAAGCTAACCAAAAAATCGTAAGAACTAACAGTTTAAGTCAATAGAAATCATTTAACAACCTTTTGCATCCGTCATTCTAAACCTTATGTCATTTAAAAACCTAGGAAATAAACAAACAATCATTTTACACAATTGTGAAATAGATAACAAAAAATACGACCTTGTAATCACACCTCATACACAAACAGTTGGATACATTCGCACAAAACGACAAACACTAAAGAGAAAAATAATAACTAAACAAAGACAAATAACACGAAAAAGATTTTCAAAAAATCGAAACGCATTTTCAGAATCAGAAACCAACAGTTTAGACGAACTTTACAAACTAAAAGAATCAATAGATAAAAATTACCCACTTCACGATCAATTATATTTTTCTGACTCAGAAACAACTTCAAATTCATCACAAAGAGGAAAAAGAAGAATAAAAAAACAGTACAAACAAAAACCAGTACATCTATACAATTGGAATCAACCAATTCGACACATTAATAACTACATATTAACAGTTATCGAACGAAAAAATGAGTTCAACGCACACCCCAGGTGACGAAACTCCAGATGATGATGAAATCTTTCCCTTTATAGTAGACGCAGATACTGATAGAGGACAACACATATTTTGTCAAAATTTACTCGTAAATTTATTTGAACCCGGAATCAGTCCATGTAAAACAGAGTTCCCCGATGTAAAAATCAAAAGACAAATCATAGATCACTATCTAAAAGATATATGCAACATAACACAACAGTATGGAATCTACTCCATAGAATTCACCTCACCAAACCATAATAATAGAACATATACTATTCAAACAGACGATCTTGATTTAGAATTTTCAAAAGTTTTTTCAGAATATATAAAAAGCATCCAATACCATAACTCACAAAGAGCAAACTCCATTTTCACTAATGAAGTTTTCGCAATAATATATAGTTATATTTCGATATTAGAAAACGAAATCCCATTAACAAATGTCTCACCGACAGAAACATCTAAACATTTAAGAGTACGACATGAAATCACACTACTCTCTAGTTATTTAAACATCATTAAAGAAAATTTCACGAAAGACGACGTTTCACAACATACCAAACACGATTTACAAAAAATTTTGGCATGGTTCATAATAGATTATTTCACACACAATATTGATTTAATTGCACAAGCAAGAAAAAATTTTAGACCCCAAAATTCGAACGATGATACCGCTATCACAGAACAATCAGATTATGTTTGGGACCCCGAATGGTCTCATCCCGCATTTATAAGCTTCCCACAATCAATCTCAAGTCAAGCAATAAGTACGATATCTTACATAAGAGATTATGTAAGAGTAATACCATTAACAATTGATGCAACACCATTAAACTATAATACATTTTTACCCGATACACAAAATAATAGTTTAAACTCTACAGTCATACACAATGAAAACCTCAATGGAACTAGGAATCTTACTCAACAAGATATCCAGACACCATCACACTTCATAAATGAAGAAATTGTACACACAACAACTACACAACAAAGTATTTCACCAATACGCCCAAATTTAACAACACCAAGAAATACAAATCCTTCACAAACACAGGTAACCTTACAATCAACCGTTAAACCTTCGGTTGCCCCTAAATATTCACATATGGATTACCAAACATACAAACCCATGACAATACCATCAAAAACACGCAAAACATTCACTAGAAACAACTTTGCAGACCATAATTATAATTATACACATCCATCAAAAACAAATTATCAACCACAAAGAAATTTTAATCAATATACAAAACCTCGAAACTGGGATAACCCAACGGCCCAATATAATTCCACAAATTTTCAACCAAATCCTCCACAGGATCGCAGTGGAAATTACCCATTTTTTCAACAAAATAAAAATAAAAAACAAACATCTTATCAAATGGATTATTTATCCTCAGATGAAGATTTCTTACAACCAGATATATTTGCACCAAATACTCAAGAATATCGTAGACAAGGAATACAGAAAACACGTACAAATCATAGAAATTTTTCTCCACAATCAATAGATGCACAATATCAACAACCAATTCAACAACAAAATCCAATTAATATACAATCTTTTCAACCAATTCAACAACAAAATCCAATGACTACACACTCGTATCAACCATCACAAATGCAAAATGAAATACCACTCCCGTATTATCTTCAACAACATGAAATAACAAGAAACCAACTTTCAAATTTTTCTCAAATGCCAAATGCAGCTGAATCATTACAAATGACAATGAATCCATACCTTATGGGTGGATCATCAATAACATCAAATAAACCTTTAATGGTTTTTACAGGAACAGACCCTGAATACTCTGTAGAAGATTATTTAAAT